GACCAACATGTCATGCTAACCCCGAAATCCCACATACTCCGTCAGCGCTCCTCCCCGCTGCTCTCCAGACCACCTGCACAAAGCAAAGCCTACAGCCTCCACTGTGGCTCCCGTCCGCTCCCCTCTGAGTCCCTTGGAGATCGTAGAGGGCATGCGCGAGATGATTAAATTCAAAGCTGCAAAACATGCGCAAATGATCCATGGTTTCCGCGAATCATTAAAAATAATTACAATTCATTAATTGTTTTGGATTTTTTCATTAATTTCATTAAAAAAAATATTAATTTTTATATTTTTTTTATTTTTCGGTGTAACAATCAACATATACCGAACCGAAAACCGTGACCACGAAACCGTGAACCGAACCGTGGACTTTGTGAACTGTTCCACCCCTAATAAATATATACTCATATACTCGTTAGCCTGATAAACCAGACTAAATGGTAGATGAAAGGTGTTATTTAGTCTGGCCCCGATGGATGAGACAGGGGAAGATTGTTGATGAGAATCTGACCCTAGCGGAGGGCCCTGGGTGCTAAAATGATATAAACCAGGATTACATTTGCTCAAAGTGTTAGATAGAGAATTTGTTTAAAACATTTGAGAATTTGATGGACAAGGCTGGATGAGGACTCATGGAAGCAATAGAAGTCTTCAAAGCTTTCAGCAAGAAAAGGGCTCCAAAAGACACCCTGGTTGTAAAAGTCCCCTGATATTGATTACATATTGTATGAGCTTTTAAAAAATGAAATAAGAGCTAAAAATTATTTATTATATATATATATATATATATATATATATATATATATATATATATATATATATATATATATATATATACATACATTCATATGCAAGTGGTCAGAAAGATTCCATAGACTACATAGAGGAATATCGATTATTTAGTAGAGATGGTTGTTTTGTTAGAAAATCGTCATTGATAAATAATTTCTCTTTTTTTTTTTTTTACCCCAAACTACATATAATATCTTGACTTGTCAAAAAAAGAAGTTATTTTAGAATAGATGCATTAATTAAGAATCAAAATGAAATCATTTTATTTTTTCCACTTGCAAATCACTAGTCAGTCGGTCAAGGGAAAATGAGCAGATTTCCCTCTATAGCTCATTGGTTGGTGTTTCTCCACTTTTATTTGATGATGATAATTATTACTACGGAGGCTTCTCTATTTCATGTGTTTGTCATTCCTCTTTGAAGCAACTACTAGAAGGAAACATTTGCCAATTCACAGGGGTTACGAGATATAATGGCTGGCCTGAAACTCAAAGGTTGTTTAAACCTTTAGCAGTAAATCATGACCAGAAGCTCTTATCTGAATCCCCAGAGAAAGGCCTGGTTATGAACTGTGGGTCCTACTTAAATCTGAGAGGAGAAAGAAAATGCAGCAGAAACCAAGATTGAGACCCAGCCTTTATTATTTAGCTTTTAGCATCACAAAAACTAGAGCAGAACGGAAAGAAGGTCAAATTTAGGCTTTTTCCTAGCTTCTCTCATGGACACGCTGATTCTAATGTTGTTTTTACCTTCCTGTCTATTGGCTTACAGGAGGGGCCTGATGCTCAAATACCTCAGAGTTAGACTTTTTTGTCTGGAAGTTTCTCATGTTGGATCACTGTGAACCAAATCATTTATATTCAAGCTGGACATTCCTCTAGATAAACTGTCTGGGTCAAGCTGACAGAAACTAAACATTATGTGCTGCTTCTTACCTAACCTGTTAAAGATGTATTCTCACCTCATTGTCTTTTTTTTAATATTATGCATTTTTATTATTTTCAACAGTTACTGTTTTTAAATGTTTATTGTTGTCCTGAAGGATCTTGGGTGGTTTGATAACCCCAAAAACAGTGTTGGGGCGCTCACTACAAGACTGGCTACAGATGCAGCCCAAGTTCAGGGGGTGAGTTCAAATGGTTGAACTAATGTTCCGCAGAAGGTTGTAGCAGTGATCCAGCAGCTGAAATCGCTGATCTTACTTTCCGTATCCTTCAGGCCTCAGGTGTACGCCTGGCGACATTCGCCCAGAACTTTGCCAACCTCGGCACCGGGGTGATCCTGGCGTTTGTGTACGGCTGGGAGCTGACTCTGCTGATTCTGGCCGTGGTGCCTGTCATTGCTCTGGCCGGAGCCGTGCAGATGAAAATGCTCACCGGGCACGCAGCGGAAGACAAGAAGGAGCTCGAGAAGGCTGGAAAGGTGGCGAATCACCCTCTGGAAATGTTACTACAGACCCTTGTTTTTTTAGGCTAATTTTTTTTTAATGCTCTATCTTTAGATTGCTACAGAGGCTATAGAAAACATACGCACCGTTGCCTCTCTCACAAGAGAACCAAAGTTTGAGTCCTTGTATCAGGAAAATCTGGTAGTTCCCTATAAGTATGTGCAGATATTCAATCAAATGTGATTTAGCTGAAGGCTAATTATCAAGAAGTTAACTTTTCCCCTTAACGCAGGAACTCCCAGAAAAAGGCCCATGTGTACGGCTTTACCTTCTCCTTCTCCCAGGCTATGATCTACTTTGCCTATGCAGCTTGTTTCCGTTTCGGAGCCTGGCTCATCATTGAAGGAAGGATGGATGTGGAGGGAGTATTCCTGTGAGTATTGTCCTATCTTCTAGGCAGATGTTCAGCAGTCGGTTTAGGATCAGAAAAATGTAAACCTGATAACATCTCAGGTAAACATTCTTGCCCTCACTAGAGAACTTTTTATTGCGTTAAAGATTACACCTGTTCATGTGGTGATTCACTCTACATACAAGCATGTGTTGGGATCATACAGTTATTCAATAATTTACTGCAAGAAATAGTTATGGCTCCCATTTATATTGTACCTGTTATCTTAAGCAGAGTCTGAAGTCCACTGAACAGTCTGAACACATAGAACTGCATAAATATTCCCTCCTATTGCTTTGGCACCTCTGAAGCAAACATGGAGATTATAAAAAACAAAACAGCTTTTTAGAAAACTTTTTGAGTGAGAAGATGCATGTAGCTAAAATAAGGCACTTGTATTTGCTATTTTCTTTAAAGATATGATTTATTACTTTGTGAATAATACTAAATAAATATGACTAAACTTTTTTGTTTGAGTTAAGCAGTGTTTATCAAAAATATTAGATTTGGCAAAACTATGATAAATTTTAATATCAAAGGCTGCGAGTGCTATGCTTTCAAAGATTTTGCAAAGCATGGTTAAGGGAGGAGAGTGGTTCTGTGTCCCACAGGGAGACACTCTGCAAGGAAGATGTTCTAAAAGTCCTGTAGTTTCCGCACTATAAGGCGCACCTAAAAGCCTTACATTTTCTAAAAAACCATCAGCTGCCTTATAATTCCAGTGCGCCCTATGTACAAATCAAGATTAAGCTTCTTCAGGTCTGGTAACTGACGTCTCCATTCTCTCCAGTAGAAGAAGTAGCACCTGGCGCATACTTGGATTTTTCATTTTAATTTGTATGTGTTAAGACCCCCTAATGGCTCCTTTCAAGAGATAGGCGTATGACGTAGAGTTTAGACTCAGTGCTATCAGTTGCCCAGTAAAACATGGGATTAGAGCAGAAGCTTGAGAATTAAACATTAATGAATCAATGGTGCAGAAGTGGAGGAAGCAAGAAGATGATCTGTGCCAAGAAAAGAAGACTAAACAGAGTTTCCGAAGGAACAAAGCTGGATGGATACAGTTAGAGGACAAAATCGAACAGTGGGTTATTGAACAGAGCAGCAAGTAGAAGTGTCTCAACAGTCACTTTTTAGCACGCCAACTTAGCAAAGACTTTAAGAGGCGGTCCTTCTTGGTGCTTGCGGTTTATGAAACAACATAATCTGTCCATCTGCTCACGAACTGCTGTTTCGCTGCAAGGGCCAAAAGACTACCAAGAAAAGCTGGCCTCTTTCCGTGCATACTGCAAAAAGATCTGTGAAAAAACATTGGACCAGAGCACATCATGAAAATGGATGAGGTTCCACTCACCTTTGATATTCCTGTGAACTGCACTGTGGATGAAACAGGAGCACGTACGGTGAATGTTCGCAACACAGGGAATGAAAAATCATCCTTTACCGTATTTCTTGCCTGCCAGGCTAATGGCCAGAAATTTCCACACTTTGTTATTTTCAAGAGGAAAACCTTGCCAAAAGAAAACCTTTCTGCCTGTGTTATCATCAAAGCTAACTCACAGGGATGAAGAGAAGATGAGTAAGTGGTTGAGAGAAACTTCCATCAGGAGACAGGGTGGCTTTTTTCACACAGCTCCGTCCCTATTGATCTAAAACTCGATGCGCTCCCATATCACCGTTAGTTTCAGAAAAACAAGTGAAGTCCACTTAATCAGTGCTTGGTGTCATCCCGGGTGGATTGACAAAATAACTCCAGCCACTAGATATTGGTGTCAACATGGCATTCAAAGCAAGACTGTTAACTGCTTGGGAGCAGTGGATGTAGAAGGCAAACACACGTTCACCAAGACAGGGAGACAGCGTAGGTTTACAGCTTAAGAAGGTTGGTCATATTGTAAATACCATAATATAGTATATTAAAGTTTGACTTGCATATCTGTCTGTTATATTGATATTCTCTTTAGTGCAGCTGCATCTAGTGGTATCTAGTATAATGCAACTCTACTCTAGCTTCTATTCTGTGTGCCTTATATTTTTAACCTTTATTTAACCAGGAAGTCCCATTGAGATTGAGAATCTCTTTTTCAAGAGAGACCTGGCCAAGGTAGCAGCCAAACCACAGGAAGTTCATACATATTTACAACATATATGAAAAAAAAAAGTCAAAATAGGTAATTCATTAAAGGTGTGCGAAATAATGCAGATAATACGGTAGCAATAAAAAGCCTGATTAGTTTGCTAATAAAGGGTTTCCCAAATATTTCAGCCTTTGAATCCCAAAAGACTGGCTAACCCCTAAAAATATATGTAATTACTTCAATCTATATATAAATATAAAGTAGAGTAATTATGTTACTAAAAAAAATTACATTGGATTCTTCATTATTTTATGTGTTTTTAATATAATGATACATTTAATTATTTGATTGTGCATTTTGCAATTTAATGGCATAAATATTTGAACCACATATTAACATATTAGGAAAATAAAATAAATACTACATCCTATTCACCAGGAAAAATTTTAGAGGTGTGGGACCTTTTTGGGACCTCTGATAAACTGCTAATACGGCTAAACTTAGTTTTGCCCATCAGAAATCTTATAAGTATTTGTTTGTTTTTTCTGTCAGTGTGATTTCTGCCGTTCTGTTCGGAGCCATGGCGGTCGGAGAAGCCAACTCTTATGCTCCAAACTACGCCAAGGCCAAAATGTCTGCTTCCCACCTCATGATGCTGTTGAACAAAGAGCCAGAGATCGACAACCTTTCAGAGCAGGGAGAGTCACCGGTATGGCACCAAGCAACACTCACCTTCTACACTGTAGAGGAAGGTCTTTCTGCAAAGTCATTGTTATGCAACAACTCTTTCTGATCTAAAGGATACATTTGAGGGTAACGTGACCTTCGATAAGGTGAAGTTTAACTATCCTACACGGCCAGACGTGCCCGTCCTGCAAGGCCTGAATCTGAGTGTGAAGAAAGGAGAGACTCTGGCCCTTGTTGGGAGCAGCGGCTGTGGAAAGAGCACCACCATCCAGCTGCTGGAGAGGTTCTACGACCCCAGAGAGGGCCGAGTGGTAAGGAGGAGGAACACACACCTCAATATGAGAGCTCCCTGCCCTTCCAGTCTGATAGTTAATGTTTGACTGAACCATAAACAACAGTTCATGGCGCATGAAGACATTGCAGAGTTAATTCACCAGGCAAACTTTGATCTAGGATTTAAACCATTTATTGAAGCTCAGAGAGAGAGAGCATTTATTATTATCTTCTGGTGTCTGGCTTTATCATAAACCTTAATATGAAGCTTTCTTTTCTCTGTTTATAATAAAAATAATCTAAAATAAAATATAAATGTACACTAGGGGTGGGTATTGCCAAAGAAGTAACGATTCGATTCGAATCACGATTCACAGGCCACGATGCAATTCTATCACGATGCATCACGATACTTGAATTATTGCGATGCGTTGCAATATTTTCTCCTCCATGTTTTGTTTTTTAATGACTCGGCACAGTATCCCACGGCCGGAAATGCTTGCGACACAAGGCAGGGTGCGTCAACACATTTGCAGCGACATCTACTGGACTGGAAGTGGTATTGCACTTGTTTTTGGCTGATGTTCGCCAACCATTCATGCAATTTTATTTATTCATTTTTTTAAATTAATAATCGATTCTTGGCATCAAGAATCGATGCAGTAGATCACGAAAATCACAATCACGATGCATCATCATCACGATTATTTTGCACACCCCTAATGTACACAAGCTGTTTAAATCATACAACCTCATCCCTTTTAGTTGTGTATAAGGAATTTGTATTACTATAATTATATTGGTTGTTGACATTTTGTATAAATATAAAGTTTGAAGTCTTAAAATGTTTGAAAGTTACAGGGACCTCTTCAGAGGAAAACCAATAATGCTGAAAATGTATTTAAGGCATCAGTTTTAACCACAAGTACTAGTTTGTGTGTAGGTAATGAGCCAAAGGTTAAAATAGATATACAATCAAAATAGAAATTCCCAGGATCTGAACTACATGCTTAACATCACATAAACAAATGAACAAGCAGATTACAGTATAGCAGTCATTCTTATATTCCCCCTTAACAATAGGCAAACTAGTCTGATATCAGAAAACATTTTGGAAAGTTCAACTCTATATCACACTTTTTTCTTCAATCATTCATGATGAATTTATCCAGGAACCATGAAATAGACAAAACCTTTAAAAAAAAGTTTATTTTTAATTTAAAAGTAGTTGCTAATTAGGCCCACATTTTGGTCTGATAGCAATAGGACTTAATTTAGGTCAAATGAGGTTGTAACGGTGGTCATATTTAGATTTTTATAGCCACTTCATTGGTTAAATATATTGGTTAAAAAAATATACATATAACTGAAATAATAAGAGAATGTCCAGGTAGTTTGGAAGAGAAATAATATCTTTCTAAAAGCACTTTGGTTTTAGCCTAAAGTCCCATATAAAAATAAACATCTTCTGGTGTTTCTTTTTTTCCTTTCTTTCTTTTAGCCATTTATAAATTCTGAAGCCACAGGTTCCCTAATGATGTAGCTGCCTTTGAGAGTGGGTGGAAAAACGTATATTTGTCCATGCAAACTAAAAACAGATAATTGCACATGTATTTATTATGGTAAATTTAATCTGTTTTGTACGTCATTTCACCGTTGTGTAATTTGTTTTTAAATTCACAGTAAAATGTTTATCTTACTGTATATTTATTAAACTAAAAGGAAGGTCCAGCTGAATATAAAGCTCAGTGCAGCAGAATAATCTCATAAGTGGATGTTTTAAAACAATCAAAATATCAATTCTAGTATGTTTGGTTTATTAAGTGGGATTTAAAACCTCTACAGCAGCGGTCCCCAACCACCAGGCCGCGGACCGGTACCGGGCCGCACAGAATAATTTATCGACGATCAGAGTCTGAGTGATGTTTTATTTTGAAAAATATAAAAAAATTGCGGTATTCTCTCCCAATTACATCAGTGCCTCTTGACACAGGTTAAGACTCATCCTATCTATAACATCCTATCTTTGTGAAGCGGGATTTTCTGCGGTTAGAGCGACCAAAACAACGCTACGGAGCAGACTGGACATCAGGAGCACACTTCGTGTGTCATTGTCTCCGATTACGCCTCGATGGGACCGGCTTGTTTTATTTATATGCTGTTTGTATTTGATTTTATGCCAGTTGTATCATTTTACTTTATCGTATTTACCCGCCCGGCCGGTCCGCGCGGGGGGTGGGGGCTGATTTGAATACGATCAAGTAAAAATCGGTCCATCCCCCGCCCCCCCCAGCCGGTCTGTACCCCCCCCCGGTCTGCGAAAATATTGTCTGACATATAGCGGTCCGTGGTGCAAAAAAGGTTGGTGACCGCTGCTCTACAGAACACCTTCTGTCATGGCTCTTTTTACCAGATGTTGATGAATACATCTTCAATAACATCTAACAAACTTAAAGCACACTGAGCTCTCTGATCATTCTTTGCTTATTCTCAAAAGACTAGATCGTCCTTTCTTATGGTGTGTTCAGACCACACACTGTGGCCACTGTGAGAGTGATGGGTGTTAAAGTGGCCAGCGGTGAACTCCACCGGCTAAGGGTGTTCACTGCTCAATATATTCACTATCAGCACAGGAATGCCATGTGATGTTATTCAATAAGTTTATATCAAGAGACTGGCACAGCACAAGCATGTGCTTGGATGGTGAAATCATCGGCCGTGATTAAAAAACCAAACAACAGTTTCACTTGTACAAATAAAGAAGCAGTGACAAAGTAGGCTAGATAATTTCGATTCAATTCGGTGCTTAATGGACAATTAACCTCTGGGTGACCTAAAAAATTATCTTTAATATATCTGCAACAACAGTAGCACATAGGATCTCTCTCTTTTTTTTTTTTTGTTCATTTTTACAAATGATGATTTTAAATGCTAGAACTTGCACCAATGAAGCACTTCCAATTCTGTCAATTTCCTGAGTTTTTTTACGTCAGTGGGGATTCAGTTTCACGCAGCTGAAGCTCCTCCTATATGATGATGCAGTACAGGGTGAGACGGTGACTGAGACGAAGACGGTGATAGATGTGTGTCGAAATTGAGTCTGTTTAGCTATTCCTGTAATGATTTGGCCAAATGTTGTGGATCATTAGTCTACTGAAAGCTATGCTGAGAGGTTTTAAGTGGTAGAGTCAAAGTCAGCAAAGTTCAACTGCATCACTACTCACTGCCACAGGGCGGTGCTGAACGCACTAAATGTGAACTGGAGCTTTATGTCCCACACATTGACGATGCCTCGGTTGGCCCAACTTTGCCCTCAGGAGGACTCAGACCATCCGACCTTTGGGCAGGTAGCCCCACTCAAGGGTTTAAAGCACCGCCGTGGTAAGACCGCAGTCTCTTTACCACCTTCTAAGACAAAAAGGACCAAGCTTTGAGGGTTCAGAGAATATCTACTGAATTGGCTGAGATGAGGTCGGATATGAGGTCTGATGCTTCACTCCCAACAACTGGGCTCTCCTCTTCTCCCATGCCTGGCTTGTTCGCAGAGGAAGATATTTTTCTCTTGCTGCATCTGCCTCTCACTTTAGAAATGACGACTATTATCGGGAAGAGGCACTCCTCTCAAGCCTTGAGACTCGCTCTTTTTCATCCTAGACCACAGTTGGCGAGACTGGTGACAACTATGCAGGATATCATGTGTATGGCCTTGAGGCAACTGCAGCTGGAACTCCCGCAAGAAGAGTCCGCTGCTTTTGGTAGTGCTTTTTTCATCTGTCCACTTATGGCCTGGTTCTGGCTGCCATGCATGGGTCAGCCAAGGCTGGCCTAGATCATATGCCAGCAGTTGAACCTGCTGTTGCCTAATAAATTATGTCCGAAGAGTCCCTGCACTGTGTTTGATGCCCACAAACTCGATGCCGGGTCAACGATGACCACCTCAGTAAGTGTGCTGGTTTCCTTGGGAACTAATTGGCAAACTTCTTGTTTGCCCCCTCTGCATTGCTTCAGCATGCTGTTGTTGCAACTTCAGCTGGGGATTTGGTGACGCATTATCGGAGGCCTTTGAGCTGATTACCAAAAAGCATGGCCGTGTCATGTTTTTTCTCATCCAAGCTCTTCTGCAGGTCTGGCTGGCACAGTCTCCCTCTGCATGCCGTAGAACCCTCAGAGGTGTCCCAGTTGTGCCAGGGGAGCTGTTTGGAGCTGCTCTGGAGGCACTTGAACTGACCTTTCATGCTCGTCAGACTAGCCAGCAGCTTTCCGGCCTCCGAAGGAGTATGCCTCATCTAACCCCCAGCAATCACTGTGTCTCTATTGGACCCTATGGTGTGTTGCAAGGAGGTGGTCCCCGCAGAGGCTAGTCGCAGGGGCTGGGGCGCTGTGTGGCAACGGAGAGCGGTTTGCACATTTGGGGTCAACGGCAGCGCAACAAACATATAAATGTTCTGGAGCTACATACTGTGTTCATTGCTCTCAGGTGCTTTCTGCCCTACCTACAGGGGAAGCATGTACTGGTTTGGACAGACAACATCTGTGGTTTACCACTCGAGTGCAACACAACAATAGATTGCTTATATTTTCTCAGTGGTGCTCGGCCCGCAATGAGGTACCAGTTTCCTGCCCAGTGCCTACTGTTCAAGAGTTTGTCCGGTCTCTGCTTGATAGGGGTTGTTCTCCTTCGTCCCTTAAGGTATATGTGGCAGCACTCTTTCATCATCCAACTGTTGATGACCATCCGGAGGGCCAGAGTCTGGTCTCTCTTTTTCTGTGAGGTGCTTATAGGTTGCGCATGCTGCTCTCTCCTCAAGTGCTTGACTGGGATCTTCCTTTGGTTCTCAACACTGCTGTTCACCTTTCAAGCCCTTGGTGCAGTGGAGCTCAAGTGGCTCTCATATAAGACTGCCTTTTTATTAGCCATTGTCTCAGCTAAGAGGGCTTTGGATCTACATGACTTTTCTGTCAGTCCCTCATGTCGTGTCATCTTGTTACCTTTTGGCCCAACTGTGCGTTTGTGTCAAAGTATTGCCCTATTCACATTTTAAACAGCCATTGAGGTTGGCCTGGTTTCAAACACAGTCTGGTACGACTGAGGAAGGGTCTGAGTTGTTGTGCCCTGTACCGGCACTGGAGGCATAATATATTGCTGCACAGACCAGCTTTTTGTGTGCTATGGAGGTTCCAAATGGGGCCGTTCTAAACCTAAACATCGCTCCCACTGGCCTGTGGATGTCATCTACAACACCTACAGTGCAGTGCGCTGCCCACTGCCCATCAGTGTGAAGGTCCACTCTACCAGGAGCATCTCTGCTTCCTTCGCTGGCATGAGGGGGGTTTTGCTGGAAGCCATAATTGCATATTCACCAGGTTGTACAATGTCAATGTGGCTGCTCCTCATCCCTTGTGCCAACTTCTTTTACGATGTTCGGCTGGGCCCTCTCAGTGAGGTATGCGCTCAGGATTCCTTGTGACATGGTTGGTATTAGTTATTCAGTGCTCTCACCACCACCCTCTGGCAATCAGTAGGGATGAAATGGAACAAAAGTTACGAATGTAACTACGGTTCTATGAATCCCTATTGACTTCCAGAGATTTTCTGTCACTCAGAATCCTTGCTTCCGCAAAAAGATTATGTAGGAACAGAGCCCTGGATGATGCCAGAATATATAACTTCTGAGTGGTGATCCAGGGTGTCACAAGTGTGACTTTGTTCCTAGAGTTATTTGAACTGCGCATGGGCGAAGGGAAAATTCTGTGCTTTCAGCACCACCCTCTAGTGGTCATCCAGGAATCATAGACATTTATTTATATTCATAACTTTTGTTTTAAATTGAACCTTGTGATGATACTATATACTCTAACAAGATTCCCAGGAGTTTTAGCCTCGGTTTGATCACTTAATTTGGGACATGCTTTATCCTCCAGGTGATGGACAGCATTGATGTGAAACAGCTGAACATCCACTGGCTAAGATCTCAGATTGGCATCGTGTCCCAGGAACCAGTGCTCTTCGACTGCACTCTGGCGGAAAACATCGCCTATGGCGACAACAGCCGCAAGGTGACCATGGAGGAGATTGAGGCAGCCGCCAAATCTGCCAACATTCACAGCTTTATAGATGAATTGCCTCAGGTAAATGCACACACATCACACAGAACATCAAGGTTATTATCCCTTTATATGTCCTCTATTTTAGGTCAGGTTTATCTCCTGCAGCAAATGTTGGAGTACATTCTTTGTTTAGCTTGTTGAGTAATAAAGGTGAGGTACCTAATGTAGGATCATGACACCAAAAATCTCCTTTTTTATAATTTTTTCCCCTATTCATTTTTTGTTCCTGGTGATAAATAAAACATTTTGTGTGTTTTGAAAATAATTTAATCGGCTTGAAACGAAATTGTGTATGCAGCAAAATTTATCACCAGAAAGAATCAACACTTCTGATAAACCAAAGCAGTTCATAGTAAAACCGTGTTTACCAACTTATTCTTACCACCCATGATGTTGTTACATAACATTGTTTAAAGTTGATTAAATATTTAAATAAAGTTGATTTTATATTTTGATGTGATGCTGTATTCATGCAGGACTTGAATACTGGTTTCAGCTTGAATTGAATATTTACAAGTAAACAGTTATATTCAATAGATTACAAAATTATTGAAAAGCATAATTTCACTAACTCAATGGAGTCAGTGAAACCAATTATTTAAATTATGTTTTCAAGCCTTTTATTTCTGTTAAATATGATTTCATGTTAACAGCTACTAAAAACACATTTCATAATATTAAACCAGACCAGTTCAATTAATTATATAACCGTTTAATTTTTATTTCATATGCAGAAATGTTATCTCAAATTAAAAGTATGTATTAAAAGGAAATGTGTGCAGGTTTATAGACCTTTAACCTGACAAGCTTCTTTGGGGTACATTTTTTAACAGTATGATCAGCAGCAGAGATAGAAACGGTCTTTTATGGAGAAGTGCTATGATTGTGAAAGAGCATCACTGTTCCAGAACAGAGGGACAATATTGGAACGGTCTGGGGCAAAGGTTACTTCCTGCATGGTTATCTAAACAGCTTTTGAAACAACTTCAAACAATAGACTCTTGATAGCTTTTCTCAGATTTTTTTACCTGAAAATTTTAAGGCTGCAAGAAAATGTCTGAGGTAATCTTAAGCAGTTTTTATCAAGCACTTACCTTTATGAGGTTTAAAAGGTCTTTGGTCATCCAGATAAAATGTCTGTGATGACTCGCAACGTTCAAAAGTAATGGTTTATGCTTTAACTACAATTAACCATGTATGACTTATGCAGTTTTGATCATATCTTCTCAGATTCAAAAATATCTTAACATTTTTTACAGATATTCTAAACTTTAATATTTATACTCATTGAGCTTACCTATTTATTGCAACATGATTAATAATGTAGGTTCTGTAATCAAAAAATGGACAACCATTTAGCAGCTGTTTTCTCACTCGGCTTCAGGCTCAGTTTAAAGTTTTCTATAATTGGAACAAAATATCCCATGTGAAGGAAACCCTCCTGGAAAACAGGCAATGACTCACCCAAAACATAAATATCCTGCAAACATAAGACTTGATTACAGGAAACTGCTTCCACAAATATGTAATGCTACTCTAAAATCTCTGTTTCTGACTCTTTCTGTCCTCTTCTCTGCTTGAGCAGAAATACAACACTCAGGCGGGCGATAAGGGAACGCAGCTGTCTGGCGGTCAGAAGCAGCGAATAGCCATCGCCAGGGCCATCCTCCGCAACCCTAAAGTGTTGCTGCTGGATGAGGCTACCTCTGCTTTGGACACAGAGAGTGAGAAGGTTTGTCTTTCTATTCCATCACTGAAGCTTTGATTACTAAATGATCTTCAAGCAACTGCAAAATCAATCACTTCCTAGAAAGGATGGTGGGCACACAGTGCCATGCAGCCCAATAAAGAATGTTAATAACTGCAGGAAAAATTATATATGTGTGTATATATAGTAGCAATGCTGCCTCGTCTACCTCAATGACCCGTGTTTTAGAAAGACACACAGGCATGATCTCGAGATCAACTTGGGGGAAATTATCTGTAGCTGGGGTGAGAATAAAAGCAGGTGTACCATCTATTAAAAATAAGTAAACTTTGCATACAAAAGTACTTCCCATATTTTGCTGGTTTAGTTTATAAATGGAAATCAGTTTTACTGTAGCATGTTGATGATTTCCTCGTCTCTCTGCAGGTGGTGCAGGACGCCCTGGACCAGGCCAGCAAAGGCAGAACGTGCATCATTGTGGCGCACCGTCTGTCTACCATCCGGAACGCCGACCGCATTGCCGTCTTCCAGGGAGGCGTGGTGGTTGAACAGGGGACGCATCAGCAGCTGCTAGCAAAGAAGGGAGTCTACCATATGCTGGTCACTACACAGCTGGGCCACGGGACAGAGTGAGGGGACGGTGGGAGTCACTATTTGTCCTGTTGAGGGATTTAAAGGAACTTAGAGGAGCACTTTCTGCCTTCTTTTAGGTTGTTTTACTTTAAGGCACTTTCACTGATTTATGCTCAATGATTTAAGTGAAACAACTGGGACTGAAAAAGATGGCTATGCCTCGTTAGTTACACTGTTTTAAGTTTAACTGCTGTGATTTGCTGCTGTCACCTTATAAAACTTTTTGAAACAAAAATATAAGTTTTCCTTGAGAAAATAGAAAAACTGGATTGTATTTGTCCGTTTCTTAGAGGAAATGTTGAAGACTCACATTTCATTTGCTTTTAAGCATGACATCAGTTTATCTATCAGATTAACTAAAATGGTGCTCATAAAACAACTATGATTGACCTGATTCATTAAACTTGTGAAATTATAGATTTAAAGCAAATTTGATTTGCAATAAATGTCCAGATTTGGTTTAAATCTGGTCTTTATCATAGATCCCCTAACTCTCATATGATTAGCTTTATTTTTACTGTCAAATCTACCATTTGCTTTAATGTAAGCCTCATACCTCTATGCTTACCTGCAAACTGTGGCACATTTTTAAACTTTAAGATATTGATCACCTCGCACTCCTCTTTACAAAACAAGTCTGACATATCATTTACCATGTAAAGTTGTGGATCCCCAAATTGGGGCTGAGGCCCCTTTTGTGGTTCTTGAGATGCTCTCCAGACATCAGATATGTAAAAATGCTTGTTTATAGCAGATGTCATAATGAAAAGTGTTGGATCGACATAACTGACATAATTGTGGAGAAAGCAGAATACATTATTCCTTCCTTAAACTTCCACAATGCCAGCATCTGTTTACTTCAGCAGTCTTTGTTTAGCAGGTTAATAGATTGAGGGACACTGCTCTGTTTTAATGCTTTTAATCTGGTTGACTCAGGTGTCATATAAACTGATCAGAAAAAAAGACTGAAAATTATTTTGTTTAAAAATAAAGTTAAATAAGAGTAACAGCCAATAAGAAATCATATATTCTGCACTGAAAATGTTATATTCTGTTTGTTTGAAGATTTATATATTTTTTGTAAGGCCTAAATGTGTTAGTTCATTTAATGATGGATGGATTGACTTTATGCAGATTCTGATCTCTTGCATAAATGCAATGTGTGACTTGTAAACAGGGATCACTGATGCAGAGCTGATATTCTGAGGAGATTGTATTCTGGTTATTAATACCTTAGTAATATTTGGGGGGAATGAGTAAAAATGAATTGTGTAATAAAGATGTGTATTCAAGCATTGATACCATTTCTCTTTTTGTGTTTTACTAGCAAAGAAAACAGTCATATTCTGATGTTTGTCACAGCAAATAAACATCAGAATGCATCTACATACGTAATTAACTTTTTTTTAATTTTTAAATGGGTTAAGAGTTGGTGGCGAAAAACTTCGATGAAATGTATAAAAGTCTATAGGAATAATTTCAAATCCATGAATATGCTTCACGTTGTTTGGTGTTCAAAAAAGCAGCTGACTTTTTTTCATAGGTGAAACATGCAGCAAATGCCTCCAAGTTATTTCTTGAAACATGTTGACTGAGGCGTGTCCACAACCGGCAAATTTATGAACTGACAGAAAATTCTAAAACCAACCTGCTGAAAATAGATAAATGAACCACGAAACCCATTGAAAGGAAAATGCTGCGATAGAGAAATGATCCCTCTGAGAAAATACACAGCAGCTAAGTTCAAATGAGCAGCAAATAAAAAATGTACGGCAAACGTGCAAAAGAAAAATGCTTCAAGTTGTGAAACCTTGCAAACCAGCTCTGCATTACAGAAGTGCTCTGTTGTACAGAGCTAGTTTGCAGTACTGCTTCTAGCCATTTTTATCTTTTCATGTATTTGGCTCATTGGCATGAAATGTAAGAACTCTGTAAAGTGCCTTGAGATGATGTGTTGTGAATTGGTGCTATATAAATAAAATGAATTGAACCATGTATTTTAACAATAATTTAATATGTAATTCTTTGTTAGAGAGAATCCAACCAAAATGCAGCGAAGAGTGTCATTTTGTTTCCCATGACAAAATGATGGACTTCTGCAGATAAATTAAACCTGTTATATATTTACAATTAAGATTATTTATGAGCTCAGATTCATCACGAGTCCATCCATCATAGATCAAAGGTAAGGTTTCTGCTTCTTTAGCAAGAAGAAAAGAGGTAGGGGACATTTGCATAATCACAGACCTGAGAACATTAATAAAAAGCAAGGCTGTGGAACTACAGTTCTTTTAAGGCATGAATTATTTAAAAACATCTCTATGTAGTAACTGTAGTTTTATCGATACGGCTCATTCGGGGTCTGTCATCCATGATCAGTAAAAGTACCATTCAAACTTCAGGACAGGAGTCTAACAGAAATTATGCAATTTCAGAAACAATTGGATGCAAAATAAAAATAAATCTTGCACAAAAATCAAAGAAATAAACAGTCATATGTGCACAGAAAAATTATCAATAAAAATGCTAAAAAGAAAAAGTTTTTCATTAGCAGAGCTCATCTACTGTAGTGTTAGAGATTCTGCTCTCTTGCATTGATTTGTGCTGATCTAGCTGTCAATATAAAATCAGTCTGAGCTGCATGTGACAAGAGGGAGAGAAGAAATGAAACGAATTCAGCCTTTTATGGATGGCTATTTATAGATTAGCTGTGGTGGCCAGATGGAGCATCTCGTGCATGGAGCTGGAGAAGAGGTTGAAGAGTGAGGCTGCATCTGTCTCATGGCAGGACTTCCAGGCTGTGACAGAGATCACAATCCTATATGATAGGGAAAACAAAAATGTTTAATCAAAGCTTGGAGAATTTGAGGTAACTAGTCAGTCACCTTTTTTTGTTTTATGGAAACAACCCTAGAACCTGATTTCCTCCCACCTGTCATCCCTGATGCGGTAGAAGAAACCGTAACCATGGTGAACCATCGGAGCCACCGCCCCCATTATTGTTGTGTAGCCCACCAGACTGGACGACAGCACAAAGTTCCCACCGCCGCCACTGCAGACACAGACACAACTGTCCAATTAAGAGAATCAAAGGAAAAACTTCTCTGCATCTGTTCATATGTGAAGATAGAATTTTTTATCTAGATTTACGGACTGAAGACTCTCAGTGTCAGATTCTTTTTGGACATATTTGTTCAAATTTAGGGAGAAACAAAAATAATTACCTGTTAGGATTATTCTTATTGATGATGTAAGAGTCTGTTACAGCCTAATATTACCTGTATGTTGCTTGTCAGGACTAATGTTTTCCCAAGTAGTTCATCTAATTAGGACAGTTTCTCTGACAGGATAAAAGGTCATCTTCATTATGCACATGGCAAAGATTTGGGAATGGAGAGAGCAGTGTTCTTGATCTAAGAACATAGTGGAATATTTTAAAAAGGTTGGATCCATGGATGTCTCCTCATTTACAGACATGTATGGTGTAATAATGTAACATTCTGGAGATGTATAAAATGCTTCTTTAAAGGTATTGTGAAGCATTTTTGCTAATTTTTTTAAAAGACCTGCCCTCTCCACAAAAAATGTACATGCACAATCCAGTACCCCCTCCCAAGAGGGAACGCCTATTAAAAGCCTGCACAAGCCCATTTCTCCTCATGCAGGCTCTGTTTGAAACTTGCTGCTCCCCTGGCTCATACAAGCTTACTGTGTCCGAACGTCCACCTTCCCCCCTAAATCCCTCAATCACTATATAGAGAGATGACTATATAGTGGACTTTACAGCAAGTTCAGTTAACTTATCGTTCAGACAGATTATTACTTTTTGCTCCCCGCTGGTCAAGTAACTCCTCCTCCACTGCGCGGTGCCGGGGCCACTCAGTCGCCACTGTAACAAAAAATCCCATAATGCTTTGCGATGAGAGCTCTCTGTGCAAAGCATTCCGGGGCATATCTGCCTCTTCTGAGACCTTTCTTTTCTTCTCGTACACGTCGTAGACACTTTTTCCTCTCATGGTCCTCGGCCATTTTCAATGAACCGCGGTGAGAAATGTGAGCTTTAATGACTGTCTGAAACCGTAACTCATCAAAAGTGCGCATGCACAGAAAAAGATAGCTAAGGGGACAAGCATGTGGGACGGCCTTACGTAAACATATCACCTGAATAATTGACAATAAGGAGGACCACTTATTTTGATGATCCACCCAGAAATAAAAGATCGTCCTCTATACCTTTAACTGTGATTTGAGGCCAGAGCATGAGATAGTTACATAAAGCGCTGCCTTCTGTAACTCTAAGCAATTTCTCTGATCTGAGTAAGATTACAAATTCTGTCATGTCTCATGGTCATTTCACACATACATTGTCAAGTGTTATTTAAATTTTTTTTCCCGAGTGATCTCTTTTCAGGAAAAGAATCGGAGAGAGAAAGCTTTAAGGTGTAAACACAGAGCTTTCCATAACATAACTAGTAGTCAATTAGATTGACATGAGAGACTTTAATTAGATATTTCGAATACTACCAAAAATAAAACTCTAGAGCAGAGGTTTCCAAATTTCTGTCTGCGGGCTCCTCAGCTTCTTTGCTTCTGACATTGACATACTATATATACAGCATTACCTTGCTTGTTCATTGCATTTAGGCACAATGCAGCCAGAGTGAGCTTCATGCTTAGAAATAAATGCAGTCACTGTATACGATAAGGCCTATTTAATAAATTAGATGCCGAAGTTTTTTTCCAATATGTGTTAAAACTTTACAAAGAAATAATTTTCCTATACTGAAACAAGTTTTGACTACAAAACAGTTGAACATCCTCAACTTATGCAGATAGAGGGGAAGCGGTATGAGTGGCAGTACCTCCTAGAGTAGAGGGGGTCAGAGAACAGCTCAGGTGTGGGGCGTCCATCTTCTTTAGCAATAAGGTAAAGCCCAAGTAGATGCCTGTCAAAACCTGCAGCCAACAGCAAAAGGGTTCAAACAACGGATCATTCAGGCCAAAAGAAACCAGTTTAAAAAAAAAAGAAATCTTTCTTTGTTCCCAAAATGAAACGTTCAAGTAAGTTATAATAGAATATTCCACAAACTCACCGTTTCCATCTTGAGCCTCAGACATCAGTTTGTTGTGTTTATTAAAAGCTGACAGCATGGCGGTCCTCCGAGCTTTCACCTAAGAGGAGACATGGCGGCCTTACATTTGTAAAAACAAGCTGCTTTGAAAAAGATTCAGTAAAGCAAGAGTTTAAAAAAAACAACTCATCAGCAGAGATAATCCGATTAAAGTTGATACAACCTTCTCAAGGAAGAGCAAAGGGTTGGAAAAACACATGATAATAAAAGTATACCATTTTTATCACCATGTGTTAGTTTGTTTCCATCATTGCTGCACAGCACCCTGTACAGGAAGTAAACACTGTCTATTACTGGTTTTACAGCAGCAACATACTGTTCAGCTTTACCTCACATGCAGGGTCCATCATGGCTTTGCACCAGTTCACAGCCTCCTGGGTGCAAGGTCGCATAGTCTCTGTCCTGCCGTGGTAAAACCTGCGAGTCGTTGCTGTTTCATAGCAACTTCCCGGCCTGATAAAACCACAAACAGACCGTTTTTTTCTTTCTTTTTTGAAGTAAAACTGATAAACATCAAAGTATCAGTTGCATACTTCTTGTGCAATTTGTAGTAAGCTAGCTGCATTGCCAGTTGGATAAATGTGTCTGGATGCAGCTTCCTCTGTTTGATGGCCAATTTTCCAAACGCTGTGAAGGCATAGCACACGATCTGCAGGTCCTGGGTCTGCAACAGCACCGATAATGCTGATGATCAGCCCCAACTTAATAAAATAAAGGTTGTTATTTTTCTTATAAGGCTTTCCAAAGACTCACAGACTCCAGATACTGCTGCTTGGCATGATGGATGTCACTGTAGGCTTTTTCATCCAAAGTGAACAGCAGCTCCTCAGGAAAAGGAATCTGTCTGATTGTGTCTGAACCCTAAAAAGAACAGAAAGCAGCATCTGAGAAGCTGGGGAGGATGCAAGCGCAATTGTATTTCTAGAATGGGATTAAAAAGTTGAGCTTTACCTTCCATTGTCCCTCTGTAGCTCTGATTTGTTGGTCAAGATACCAACACATCGATATCAGCACCATAGCGTCATATGGTGCATGCTGCAAAATAAGTCCAAATCAATCAAATTTAAACCATATTTCCGTCCCAAACTCAGGGTTCCTATTTTCTTTCCACATTTAAACCTAAAAATGTATAATTTTTTTTCTTGTTGGTTT